AGAGGAACAATAATATGCAAATAGAATAATATGCAAATAGAATGTTTTCATCAAAAAATGCTGCTTAATTTGTTTTTTGAAGATGTATTGAGAGTTTATGTCTTTATTTTTTATTTTAGTGAGTTCCATACATCAACTCCATTATTTAGAGAGAATATGTCTTACATAATTTGTTCTTTTATACCACTTGTGAAGTTTTGATGAGTTTCTTGTGCTACTTTGATGAATTTGATTGATAGTCACAAAAATTTATCAAAACTTCAGGCAGGTTTTTAAGATTATTGAACAGCATTGTAGATACTGTTCCTTCTGCTTGTGTTTTGCTCTCATGCAGTTGGCTATGGGAGTGGTTCTGACAATGAGAACAACTGAAACTCTCAATATCTCTCAATATTATATGCCCTTTGGATTCGCCTACTTTTAGAAGTTTATCTCTTATATCTAATTACTAATAGTATGTCATGTAATTAAAGGTGCGATTGACATTGGTATCAGGTTACACTCTCGCACCTGGACGTCTTTCTTCTTTCCCGAGGCTTTGAGCCTTTGTTGTCTTGTTCTTAAACTTGAGGCGTTTCGTTGTCGTGAATCCACTGTAAACAGCTCGCCGAAATTAGGTGTCGAAAAAATCAGCGTATTCACGGATTTTGGACTATCTTTTAATATAGCATGAGAAAATCAACAAAATGTCCACACAAAATTATCACTCACTCATTAGTAAAATATATGGCAGCCATGGCTTGGTGGCGCGCTCGCCCCAATGTTTTGCTCCCCCGGCAATATGGCGGAATAAACCTTGAAAAGGCCTATTGGAAAATTAAAAAGCAAAAAAAAATTCTGTTTGCAGCAAATATTTCCCGCCAGATAAACGACATCCGGGACACCGGTCCATATACGGAAAATACGGACAACGGTCCGGATATGGGTTTTTACGGACCGCTTGTCAACCAATCAGAACAGAGAATTTTGAAAAGCCATATAATAATAAGTTATAAACTACAAATAAACCCTCGCTTTACTGAGAAAACCGTTATATTTTCCGAACATGAAGTATTGAAAGTAGTTGACATGCATGGTAACATGATAATTTTATTAAGAATATTTTAAAAATTGAAAAATCTTCTCAAAATATCACTTTTAATTACAAAATTATCAATTTTCCAAACATGTATATGTTAGGTAATATATGTTATTATACGTAATATAAGGTCAATTTAATCACAGTTGTGATTTAGGGAAGCCTCACATATCGTTTTTTTCCACGAGAAACGTCATATGTTCGTTGGGGGGGTTGGCAGCTGTGACGTTTCTCTGTAAACATCATGGAAAAATTCCATAGTTTTTATCTTTGCAGAATATAAAAAAGAAAACAATTTGATACAAACAGCAGTCTATATATTCGTAATACCATACCTGTTTTATACCTATGCATTTATATTATTACGCCTTCCTTGCATTGAAAACACTCAAATTTCAAGAAAAACGCGCTAAAATGATCAATATTTCATGCAAAAAAAGTTGTTTTGAGAAACGTTGGAAAATTTGAACTTCATATTATATATTAATAAAAAAAGAGTATGTCAGCAGAAGATGACATATTCCTCGCGGAAGCATCGCCAATAGCCGACCAAAAAAATAGTAGAAAACTACCTTATGTGTACTATAAGAACAAAATATCGATAACTATGTGCGACGTTTCTAAGCAGGGGGGGGGGGGGGGGGGGTTGAGTCTCCAGAGAAACGAACATATGACGTTTCTCATGGACAAAATCGATATGTGAGGCTTTCCTTAATGTAAAATTCAATCATAAAAGCTTCACGAAAGCCAAAACGTTTAAAACTAAACTACCCTTTATCGATATACTTTGAGTTGGAAATGATTTCAAATTCTCGCATGAAAATAACTCTTTATTTAAAGTTTTTAATAGAATAGAAAAGGATACTTAATAAAAATACTCTGAAATTATAGGCTGCCTTTTTTCGTTATACGCAAGAATCAGTTTTTAAAGTAATAATAAAGCAAATAATGCTTCAATATTTAATAATATCAAACTTACCTTCATTAACGTCGGCCTGTTTGCTCGCTTTTAGGCGTTTTGGTTTTTTTTTCTTCTAAAATGTTTCGAAATTTACAAAATCTTTCAAGAATGAAATATATTTGAAAGAAATGTTTATTTCGCTGCCGTTATGCAGTCCTTAAAATGCAAATTATAAATTTGACCAATCAGTGTTCGCTATTCGCGACAGTCTGCTATATTTTGAGATCAGTGAGGATGACCACGAATGAACGGTGAACCATAGCCTAGCTAATGTGTTTAATCCTTTCCCTGGGTGTAAATAGCCGGGCGGAATTAGTTTCCTCGCCCTGGGCTTACGTCCGGAACGCTCGGGAATAAAAATCACAACAGCTATACAGTCACCAATCAGTACTCTCGCTGCAGTAGCAACTCGAGCTTTTATCACACAATATATCACTGATCGCTTTCAACCACTCGCAGGTTAATAATAATATACTTTATTTAAAGAAGGTATTACTAATCTTACCCTGGGTCTTCTATATTTGAGTCAAATACCTGAACGAATTGAGAACAATAGAAAATGGGCGTGTTTTACGGATGTTAAATAGTCAACATACATGCTAAATGATTGTTAAATTTAGGAAACATGTTGAATGATGAATATTGAAGATTATACGTCCGCGTCCGCATGCATGCATAACATTTTTTGTATTTCATGTGCGCAGCGTTTGCGAACTAGGCAAATTGGCGAGTTTAGTAGCTCAACCAATTGCCTACAAGCTACGTAGTTAAAATTTGTTTTGCGTCTATTTAGACACGAATTTAGAAAGCCCACCGATTGCACTTGGCATGGAAGATCGTTCGATTTTGGACTCTCAAATTTTAGCATCATCAACAAAAGACTATCAAACATCCGGAGCTGCATATGCCAGACTGAACCTTACAACCATTGGTAATGTCAGTAGTGATAGCTGGATAGCAGCGGAAAAAGACAATGATCCATGGCTCCAGATTGACTTCATAAGCAATGTGACGATCAGTGAAATACGGACTCAAGGCTTAGAGAATAGAAGTTCGTATGTCACAAGTTACACACTGTCATTTGAGATAAAAGGGACAGTTTACAAGAATACCAAGTCAATGGGCAAGTGAAGGTAAACATTATACACTTTATCTGCTCCCAAGGGAACCGTTTAAAGTCAAGCGAAAGCTATTTATTTATACACAACATGACGTCATAACGTAGTAAGAAGTTGCCCAAGAGACGCCAGGGCTGGTGGGTTACAGCATGATGTTTATACAACAACGTTATGACGTCTTCTGTGTATCTTATAACAGAACAGAACAGAGCATGGCAATTGTTTTGTATAATGAAAAGCAAACAAACAAATCAAACACTAGGTATGTATAGTTTATCTTGATTCCCCCAAATTTGTCACCCGTTCGTAAACGTTGACTCATAACGCGTATATTATATTATATAAATTATATATGGAAACTAAACAATGCTATTTGTTAATTAAGTGACATGCTGAATTGTGATTGGCCAGTGAAAACCAATAGGCCATGGCCATATATCCAAGCAACATGATTTTCTATACGTTAACAAATTCACTAGCTTTTTGTGTTTTTGCTTTACTAAAACTTCAGCACAATTTGTTCTGGTATTCCTTCCGAATATGGCGTTATTCGCTTACTCAGAAAAAATTGCGTAGTATTTTTAAACATTATCGTCATTTTACTGGCGTGAAATAAAGCTATGCCTATTTTATGTGACGTAATTCCGTGCGTATATGAGCTCTCGACCAACGAAATCGTTTGAATTTTTTACTTATTATTTAAAAAATTCATTAATAATTCACGAGGAAAATACAAAAGAAATGAATGTTTAATCAATGTTTGTAAATTGGATAAACATTTGTCCTGATTTACATAAACTTCAGCTTTGATTTTCTCGGCTTAGACAATGTTTATTTTCAAAATTACTTCGCCAATGAACTCATAAGATGGGTCATTTTTTGAGTACGATAAAACATTCGCATCCGATCTGTATCTGAATACAAACTTTCGCCTTCGGTTCGAGTTTGTATATCAGATACAGATCGGCTGAGCATGTTTTATCTAGTACACAATAACAATAGAACTAATTAAGTAACTTACTGTTTAAACAGGTATGTTGCATTTAGGCAGCGGCTATTTTACAAATGAACAGCTTTCAAAATGCACAACTTTCATTAATATTCATTCTTTCTCAAAGGAATTTTACGCGAACTATAACATCAGTTCCATCATCAGACAACCGTTGAAGCCAGTTATATTTGCTCGTTTCATTCGAATAAGACCAAAAACATGGACCGGAGATTGTGCATTGAGGGTTGAATTTTATGGCGAACATGAAGGTGAGAAATGACGTGGCACATCGTCATGTTACGTGTATTGCAATTTTATGAACATCTAATCTGGAGGGCATATATGACAAATTGAGAACATGCATGGCCTTTAAAGTTTTTCGATATATTTTCATTTTGGAGATATTTAGTTCGTTTGATATGTTAATAACACAACATTTTACGCCATATTGCTCAATGAGTTTGTGAACGATCAGTAAAGCCTCGGTCAAACGAGGATGGCAGTTGGGGAGTTTGCAGTCGCAAACTTGGGACATTTAAAGCTGTAAACTAACAAATAATAGCTCTAAACGTCACGCGAATATATTAATATCAAGTGCTGGAAACAACGTGAAGCGGCGGGGGAACCATTTAAAAAGGGCATTTACGTCTGTGTCCTTGTTTTTTGGTAGCGATCTTACTTAAACTTTTGCTGTACGGACACTTGATTATTTGTAGCTAATTTTGTTGGACAAATTTCGGCATTTATTGCATGAAAAATTTTATTCGTTGTATGAAGCTAAATACTAAATTCATTGTATAAACAAAAAATAATGACAGCTTGTTAATGTTTAGGACGCCTTTTTTTCCTTTTTCTTGCTATAGTTGGAAACCTTGATAACGTTTCTGAGAGGAATTTCACATTCACAACAGTTCTCATTTTCAATTCATATGAATAACGCACGACTTTCGAAGTGTATTATTTGCATATAAAGCAGTACGCTGCCTCCGCACTGTTTAATTTGGACAACGGCTGCAGCTGCCCGCACTGCATGCCCGCGCGGTTCCATGCATTGCCCCTGAAATATCATCTGTCTGGAAAAACGTTCCCAAAAATAGGAAAGTGTACGTGTCGATTGTTTTGACCTCTTGAAAAAGATGATTCTTGATTTTCATTACTTTGAAATAGCGAATCACACAACCTCAGAGGTCACATCGCACAATGAGCTGTTGGTAACATTGGTGATTAAGTCTGTAGTTATAACTTTTAAATTATTAAGTCTTACAGTATAACTTAGGTTTGTGAAAACACCAAGCCGTATGCACTGGTACGGTTGATCAATTCCATCTTTTTTCCCAATAGGGTTGTACGTCATGCAGTCGACAAACCCATTTATAAACTAACATTATTGTACATTTTTCGTAACCTTTTTATCTAGAATGTACCGACCCGCAGCCTTTAGGCATTGAAAATGGACGTATTCTTGACAGTCAACTATATGCTTCAGCATTAACTATAACAGAAGATGGACCACAAATTGGTCGGTTAAATATGTTGAGTGGAGGTTAGTAACATGCATATTGCGAAATTTTCATTACTATAATAGTGTTACGAGGCTTTATTTAGGTAGTGTAGTGAATCGTTACAACAATCTTAAATAACTATCAGTTCTTAAATGTTCAATACTGTTCGTTCCTTCGTGTTCACGTTCGTTTTCTTGTAATGGTTTCCTTAAAGTTCACTTCAGCCTTAAAATCTTGTTGTCTTTAGTTTGTCTTCTTTGTTCTTTGCTATTTCGTTTTGAGTTTTCGTAGCTTTCCATCAGCTACGTTTTACTTCGTCTACGTCCACTGACGAATTCCGGTTGTGCACGCCCTTTTATACTAACGGTTGAGGGGATCTTTGTCCACGTGATGTAGCAAGTAGTGTGATTTGTATCCAGCCAATCAACGTTGAAGTTTAAAAGTGTGGGTTGGCATTGCTAGCTCGTTCCAACTCTCAAATTTTGTTTATTTAAGGCGTTGTCGCACTTGTCGAGTTGTTCGCTGTTCAATCGATTAATATTAAAATATGTTCACAACTTAAAATACTTGTCAAAAATTAATATCATAGTAAAAATTTCAAACTATACCTATGTGAACCTTATTTTACCTACTAAACTAAACTTACTTACAATTTTATTGAAACAAGATTTTGATGACGTAATGTTATCATTACTCAACCGCGCGAAATATTCCGAAGAATGATTGACAGAAATGCCCTAAGCATGCACATTTTCCATGTCAAAGAAAAACCAGCATTGGACTTTGAATTATGTTAACACAACAGCCCACCATGCAAGGTTATTGTCCAACTTTGACAGTTTGACAAATTATTTATCTTGCCTAATGGACAGATAATTGACACTTATACACAAGTCCGAAATGATATCTACTTTATCTGCGTTTTACAGCAAAAATGCTCATTATCTCTCCATTAATTTGACGTAACTAGTATCTATAATTACCTGGGGTGCAAACTGGACTATTTTTATACTATTTAGATATACTTTCGTAACAATCCTTCCCGCCTGGATTAAGCTGCCCTCATTTTTTGAGATATATAAAAAATAAATGACTATATATTGTTCATATCGTTTTAAGCTCGGCGTGGCTTAACACGGGCATATTACCAAATGCCTAATAACTGAGTCCATACATATAGTACGTGTTAAATGCATGACTAATTATATCAGGGATTATTCTAAGGACATTTTATCACTGCACAAAAGCGCGAAAAATGATAAAGTTACCCCATGCATGCACTAATTATATGCAGGCAAATGAGCCAAATCACCGCTAATGAGCCCAAATCTGCATTCTGCATATTCTATTTCATGCAAAAATATACACATTTTTACATATTTTTTGAATCGCATGAAAAACACCAAGCAATATTGCTCTTCAAGATCTACTAGTCTTTCACTGTTGATTGTGTCACCAAACCGCAGCGTCAAAAATCTCAAAACAAAATCTCTCGGCAGCTGTTTGGCGCCAAGTTTGAACATGATGCTTCCAAATGAAATTGGGTACTGTGCCCAAGAAAGGGCACTACATCTAGAGTTAGTACTCGACAACGGCACTGTGCTCAACATGATTTGTGAACCATTTTGAACGTTGGGCACCAGTGCCGGGCATTCAGTCTGGCCACCGAAACATTAGTAAATGAGTGCTTTATTGAATTAATGAATTAATGAATGAATGAATGAATGAATGAATGAATGAATGAATGAATGAACGAATGAATGAATGAATGCATTAGTAAATGAATGCTTTATTGCAATAATTTTGAGTTCAAATATTTTCACCTGTATATTCCCAGGAAAAACTGAATGAAGCCATTGTATGTGATTTTATGCAAATTAGTATACAAGCAGTGGCCATTTTGCCGCCAATTCCTGGTAGTGAACAATATCGTATTTTATCACTGCACATAATCTAATTTATCGCTGCACAAATCTCATTTATCACTGCCCAAATTGGTTATCACTGCACCTTAGAATAATCCCTGAATTATATATGTTAACACTACATAAGAGATTATACAAGAAATATAACACTTATGCCTAAATGCACCTCAGGGGTAATCTACAATAATATATTTTAGCTATTACACGTGATTAATTTTCAAAATGTCGAAAATACTTGAAAATTCCACTGAATATATACAAATTGAATGAATTTATGCAATTAAATCTATAAACATGAATAAATACTTTCGATAAATGAGCCAAAATAATGTGACAAACTGAACTTCAACCTGAATAGCTGTGTAATAAACTGACTGGACTACACTAAAGATAATTATCTTCATCACTTTAGGTACACGGTTCACTGCGGGACCAGATGGAGAAATGTGGTTTGAGATTGATTTTATGAAGTGGACAAAGATCATTGGTATAAAAATACAAGGGGCTGCAGGTGTATTCGACGTTATTCAAACTTTTACAGTGGCCTATAGCAGCGATAGAAATAATTTTGTGCACTACAAAGAATATGATCAAATCAAGGTTAGATGCATTTTATGTTATTGACAAAGGTATATATAAACATGTATATATATATATATATATATATATATATATATATATATATATATATATATATATATATATATATATATATATATATATATATATATATATATATATATATATATATATATATATATATATATATATATATATATATATATATATATATATATATATATATATATATGAATTGCGTTTATTTTG